TATTGAGACTGGAATTTTTTTTTCTGTCATACTTTGTTAGTATGAGAATAGAATTTTAAAATTGCTACAGTTAAGGTGTGGTGTGTTTATAATGATACTAGCATTCATGGTCTTGGTGTGCATAGTTACCTAACTACCAACAGTGCCAAGACCCCCCACTCATACCCCTCTCTCACTTCCAGGGAGAACATAATTTTTTTATGAAAGAAAACAAAATTTTAATGTTTTAATTTAAAAATATTACAACTGGTCTTTTGCAGACTAGAAAGTTTATGAAACAATTCATACAACTGTTCTTTTATTTATACACAACACATGAACATTTAGATCAAATGTGGTATCTCTGACATTTTTTGTGTCTCATGTATATTTTTTTAAATTTTTTTTTATTAGTGAAACACCATGAGGTACAGTTGTAGACTTACAAATTTTTGTGCTTGGGTTTCTGTTGTACAATGATCAAGTACCCATCCCTCCACCAGTGCCCATTTTCCACCACCACTGATCCCAGTACCCCTCCCCCCCTTATCCCCCCATCCCACCCTACCTCTGTGGCATGGCACTCCCTTTTGTTCTCTCTCTCCTTTTGGGTGCTGTGGCCTGCAAAAGAGGCATCGAGTGGCAACATGTTCGGTCTAGAGTCTAATCTCAGCATGCTGGGAGAACACAGTTTTAAGGAAAGAATAAATTACATTTCTGAATGAAGGAAAGTGGGCAGCAGCAGTTAGAGTGGGGAACTAGGTTTCTGTCACTGTCACTGTCCTCCCATTGTTCATCAGTTTGCTCGAGCGGGCCCAGTAATGTCTCCATTGTGACAGTTGTTACTGTGTTTGGCATATCGAATGTGTCACGGGTACCTTGCCAGGCTTTGCCATGTGGGCGAGATACTCTCGGTAGCTTGCCGGGCTCTCCGAGAGGGTCAGAGGAATCGAACTCGGGTTGGCCATGTTTGCTGCATGCAAGGCAAACACCCTACCCGCTGTGCTATCACTCCAGCCCATCTTTTTCTGAGGACATTTTATTAAAGGTACTTTAATAATTATTTTGAAGTTTTACTATGTTTTAAGTGACATTTAAGATTTATTTTTATCAGTTACACATGATTGTGGTTTTAAAAGTCAAGGTTTTTGAAAAATGTGGGCCTCAGTCCATTCATTCCATTTGTGATTCTCACACTCCAGATTTTTGAAAATTGTTTTTTTTTGAAACACTTAGCTTTTTGAAAATGAAAGCTACCTTCTGTTTCTAAGTAACATGATTATACTGTTAACTTCTTGTTTTCTTTTTATTGAATCACCATGAAATCCAAAGTTGTTAATGTATTGAGGTTTAGTTGTACAATATTCAAGCACCATATACTGTGAACTTCTTGATTTTTTTTCTTTTTTGGGGGGGATTACACCCATTAGTGCTCAGGGCCTACTCCTAGCTCTGTGCTCAGGAGTGACGCCTGGTGGTGCTAAGAGAACACTGCATGAAAGGCCTTACCTCCACTATTTCTCTGTCCTTAGTTTCTTGATTCTGAGCATTCTGAACAATGCATGCTCAGGGTTTACTTCGGGCTCTGGTCAGCGTTCACTCTTGGCAGTGCTTAGGCGATCATGTGTGGTGCTGGGGGTTGAACCCTGGTTGACTGCATGAAAGGCAAGCACCCTACCTGTTGTACTACTGTTCCATTAACTTCTTTTTTCTGTTTTTTAAAGAGATAGTACAGGAGATAAGGTTCTCATCTTGCATGCAGCTGACCCAAGTTCTATACCTAGCATTACATATGGTCCCGAGCACTGCACAGAGCCAGGAATAGTTCCTTAGCCCTGCTGGGTGTGACCCCAGGATAAAACAAAAAAATAATTTTGTACTTTGTATGTGGCGCCACACCTGGTTCTGAAGTGAAGAAAATTCTGATTCTTCTGTTGTCCTTGCAGTTTTCCTTTCATTTATTTCATGTTTTTGTGTGTAGGGGACGTACCAGGGATGAAACCCAGGTCTCATCATGCACTTAGCTGCAGAGTCACATCCTAGACACCTTTTCTATCAATTTTGGGTTTGGGCAGTGAGTAGATATAAATACACAATTCCAAACTATGCTGTATTTAACCACAATTTCTTTCCTGGATATTTTTTACATACTAGATATATATTTCACCTATAGTTCAATTCATGGATCACAAAGCTAATAAGTAATAACAAGGATTCAAGTCCATGTTTGATTCCAAAGGATGATACCTTTTCATTCTACCTCATTCCTGAAATGATGCTTCTAGAATAGAATATTTTTGCTTAGTTTTGTAGAGAATAGTCAATATTTTGGTGAGTGCTTTAAACAAAACAAGAATTTTGGAGTCTTGAATAATTTTATAAAACTTCATATGTGATTTGGGCTGGAGAGATAGCACAGCAGGTAGGGCGTTTGCCTTGCACGCAGCCAGCATGGCCAATTCGAGTTCGATTCCTCCGCCCCTCTTGGAGAGCCCGGCAAGCTACTGAGAGTATCTCGCCCGCACAGCAGAGCCTGGCAAGCTCCCCGTGATGTATTCGATATGCCAGACACAGTAACAACAAAGTCTCCAATGGAGACGTTACTGGGCCCACTCGAGCAAATCGATGATCAACGGGAGGGCCTTTACTTTACTTTTTACTTTACATATGTGATTTAGTTAATGCTATGCCTATAATTATAATGAATTAAAATGCATCATTTCTGCAAACCTCTGATGGAACCATAACTATACTTTTGTTGAGAAGCAGGAATTTTAGTCTAGTCTTTTTTGTAGATGAGGTCCAGAGATAACTACCCATAGACCAAGAAAAATAATATTAATAGTTGGGCTAGAGCTTTAGCATACTAATAACTTGTACTCCACTTACGTTTTCCCAATTTCAGTTTTTTTTTTTTTAAATTTTGGGCCATATCCAGAGGTGCTCAGGGCTTACTTCTGGCTATGTCCTTTGGGATCACTCCTGGCAGGCTCGGGGAAACATGTGGTGCTGGTGATTGAATCCAGGTCAACTGCATGCAAGGCAAGCACCCTACCTGCTGTATTCTCGAACCCCGTGACATTTTATTTTAAATATTTAAAGTATTTGAAAGAATTGTCTAGTTAACATATTCATAAACCTAGCATGCTATTTTATCCATTCATTAATACCTGATTGTAACTTTTTACTAGACTCTGCTCAGGATATTATCCCATTTTGGGTTCATTAATCGAAAGAATAAGTGGGAAAATGCAAATCGCCAAATCTTTGAGTACTGACTATATGCTTAGGACTTAATAGAGGTATAATGTAGCATTTATGGCATAAAGGAATTTATAACTTTATCAAGGAAGATTTTGCCTTGTAAGCGGCAAACATGGCCAACCCGAGTTCGATTTCTCCGCTCCTCTCAGAGAGCCCGGCAAGCTACCGAGAGTATCTTCCCGCACGGGAAAGCCTGGGAAGCTGCCCGTGATGTATTCATTCTGCCAAACACAGTAACAATTGTCACAGTGGACACGTTACTGGGCCCGCTCGAGCAAATCGATGAACAACAGGAGGACAGTGATAGTGATCAAAGAAGATTATTGAAAAGTTTATGAGCATATAAACTTGAATAGTATAAGGATGCATGTACTCATTTAAGGGTGAATTATGAGTTAATGATAAAAAGTTGCAAAGGTTTAGGATTCAGTGTGGAAAACTAGTTTGAGCCCCCAGATATTTCCATCCCTATATAAAATTATTCTTAGTCATAAGCGAATAAACGCATTAGTATTAGTGTTTTTAGTGTTTTCAATTTTCTTTCTTTACTTTTTTTGAGCCATATTCAGCTATACACATGCACTTGGAGATTGAATCTGGGTGTACCACATGCAAAGCAAGTGCCTTACCTGCTATACTCTCTCTCTGGCCCTCCAACTTTCTTTTGTATAAAAATTCCTTGAACAGTCTTCCCATGTGGGTGGGAGGGTTTAGCTTGAGGTGCAACTGGGAGGGACTGTTCATTCCTTTAAAGAAGGAGGATTTCCAGAGGGCACAGAGTTTTTTTTGGAAAAGGGGGTGATAATGTTTGGAACCTCTGCTCTTTCTAGTACACAGTATGAATAAAAAAAAGATACATAGTAAGAGTCCTTCTCTTAGTCTCCTCACAGTTCGTTTCCCTTCTGAGAAGCAACCACTGGTAATACTGATTTATTTGAGTGCATAGAAAAAGCATTCGTGTTCATATATATATATGATGGTATATTATACACACTCTATTATATCTGTTCTTCAGGTTAGTGTTTTCTTTCCTACACCTTGAGTACTTTATTTCACTCTAGATTCTTTAAACCACAGTGTGCATTGTATCTTCTATCCTTCTCTCCTATGGGCGATAGGTCTGTATTTCTACACAGATCAGGGACACATAGTTCTTCCTGCTTATAAAAGGAATAATTTGGGATGAAAATGCACTTACTCCATTCACATCAGTACATTAAAAATTCCTCCTGCAAGCTGCTTTGAAGTCACTCTTGAAACTAGATTTCACTAGATTTCCCATCCTTAAAGGAGGGATGATCTTCAAGATAAAGTCGTCTTCATCTGAAAGAACAAACCACTTACTGGGTGATCTAGTAAGTGAATGAACATTCAGATTGCAACCTCAAATGTATAGTTCCATCAAAGATAGCATGCTAGGGTTATTTCTGTGTGTGTTTGCCATAGCCGGCAGTGCTCAGGGATCACTCCTGGGGTGCTTCTGGGATCATATGTGGTACCAGGGATTGAACCTGGGTTGGCTGCATGCAAGCCAAACGCCCTCCCCACTATTAGTTTTTTTAAGAGGCTTAAGCCCATATTCTTTCAATCATTCTTATTTGTACTTTGCTTCACTATGTCACATACTGATTCTAAATAAAGTCAAGTGATTTTTCTAATGTAATTCATCCATTAAGCAAATCTTAATTTGGTTTTGGACTTCAGAATTACCAGAACTCATTCATCATTTTTGAATTCCTTAAGTAAGAGACGAAAGGTAAGTTCAACTTTTTTATTAATAATCTTGGAACAAATACGAACTTTCACATATACCAGTTAAACCTCACAACATCCCTGTGAGGTAGGCAAGGCTGGTGTTATTTTCCTACCAGTGAGTAGAACAAGGCTTAGGTGAAGTAAGGTCATAAATGAAAAATCACGGAGCCAAAACTAGAACCTAGGCTTTCTGACATGCTGCCTCCCTGAGAACATTCAAGTAATGATTTCCTATGCTATATAATGAGTCTTTCCTATGATGATCAGTTCTTTTGTTACAAGTTTGATACCACCTCTTTTATCATCCCCTACTGTGATGAGTATACCTACTGTGACGAGATGTATCTTCCTGTTACTGGGCTACTTATCTTTGATGTATCAAGTACCATCCGAGATGCAATTTAAGTTTTAAAATTTGAGGATCCCTTATACATACTCTAAATTATGTTATGAAAATACATTTTGGAAAATTCTGCAAAGTAATTTATGTTAATTATGTCAAACTTAGAAATAATGTTAAGTCTTTATATTTTTAAACTGTACAGCATTTCCCAATAAGATGTTCAGGTAGATTTAAATGGCACATAGGAAAAGGTGATTAGAAACATACCATCTTACGGGAAATGAAGTACACATAAGTACAAGTCACTTCACACTCATCTGATTTCCTTATTGGTTTTCTCAGGAAGAAAAACTTTTTAGGTCTCATCTCATGTATGACATCCTCAGCAACAAACCATAAAAATGATCTGAATGGGACTGGAGAGATAGCACAGCGGGTAGGGCGTTTGCCTTGCACGCGGCTGACCCGGGTTCGATTTCCAGCATCCCATATGGTCCCCTGAGCACCGCCAGGAGTAACTCCTGTGCATCACCAGGTGTGACCCAAAAAGCAAAAAAAAATTATCTGAATTATACCATTAGGAGTATTCAGGCAGTAGTGATCAAAGCATATTTGCATATGGTAAAAAGAAAAAAATTGTTTTCAGTGATTTTTGCCTAATCCCAGTGTAAATAACTTATTAAGGCAGATTTTAAGTGATAGCATCTAAGTTAAATTTAGAATTGTGAAATACAGTGGAATTATCAACTTAAAATACGAGGGTGAAATTGAATGTAAACTACTAAAAACTACCTGTCCTAAGCATAGTATGGCATTAAATGTAAAAGGACAAAACACAACAGCTCTGGTATAGAGACAAAAAAATAAATTCAAACCCTTTGGGTTTAAGTGAACATCATACATCAAAGCATTTAAAGAGCAGGTTTATAGAAAAGCCTGAAAATGGCATGGAGCTTTATTATCAGGAATTATTTAATATTCTATTTTTGGACTTTTAAATTAAATTGCCATATGAAGAAAATCTTTTAAGAGCAGAGGGTGCAGAAAATGAATGAATGGAGGATCCAGACACATTTGAGGGGTTGTGAAATAGCAAACACCAAGAAACAGATACATTCAAATGGATTTAGAATCTCTCTAAATACATTCTCCAAATTATTACCCTACATTTAGATCTGTTCAGAAAAGTTGGTGACTGTCTTACCTTACAGAAAGGAAGTAGCCGTTGAATATATGTTAGAAATTGTAAGGTAAGGCTAGTAAGACTGCAAAAACTGAAACTTTAGTGCTGTTGTCAATGATTCTGGGAGAAAACTGCTTCCAAAAATAGAACTGCCACAGTAGGTCTCAACATTAATGAAACTTTGTACTTTAGCCTAATGAAAAAAACTGGTGCTCACTTTTAAATCTTAACAGTTCTAACTATTGCAGCTATATTTACGATTCCTAAGATAACACTTGAAAAGATCTAGAATGTTCTCATTTAGTATACAGGGCTCAAAATCAACTACACATTTGAAATGCATCTTGACTATTCCTTACATAGTATCATTGTCATCATCTTCATGTTTTCTCTTCAATGTCTTTGATTCATTGGCTGAATTCTGTGATGAAACCATGTTGGTGGTAATAAGAACATTTTTTTGCCCAATCATTGAAGGATTGATCAGAACATTTTGAACTGCCGTTGTTGTAGGAACTGTAAACAGAAGAAAACATCCGCAAACTATGAATTAGCCTGAATCAGAAACTTATAGTAAAAAGCACACAAAATAAATGACTAATAATGTAACAACTTAAATTCCAACTGTACTTTATAAGAAGCCTTGGTAATTTTAATGCATCAAGAATTGAATTACATTTTTAATGCCTGAAAGTATTTAAATGCTACAAGATTACATAAATTCTACATTTTAAAAACTTAATCACCTAGAATTTCAATTTGTAGTACTTATTATTGAAGTTTTATTCCTCATAGAAAATACATAGTCAAAGTAAAACTTTACATTTCACTTATAGCCAATATTTTATGTAAGATTTTTACTACGTGCATTTAGGTTTTAGAAAATGAAATCTACAGACATGCATTAATTAACCATGCTATAACTGAATTCCATTTCTATTATAACTTTACATGTATCCTATAGAGTGAGCAAAGGTAAAATTAAATTTGTTGTACACCAAATTCTATTATATTTTCAACTCTAACCCTCACTGTTTTTTCCTGAAGATGCTTTATATTAGTTCACAGTGGTTTTTTTTGTTACAAATATGTAGCACTGTAGCACTGTCGTCCCGTTGTTCACAGATTTGCTCTAGCAGCGCAGTAACCTTTCCCTTGTGAGAGTTGTTGTTACTGTGTTTGGCATATCAAATAAGTCATGGGAAGCTTGCCAGGCTTTTGCTGTGCGGGCAAGATACTCTCGGTAGCTTGCCGGGCTCTCTGAGAGGGGCGCAGGAATCGAACTCGGGTCATCCCTGTCCGCCACATGGAAGGCAAACGCCCTACCTGCTGTAAATTTTCATATAGTTTTAGTGGGTTTGTGAAGGACCAGTACCTGCGTTCTCACTGCCACCTTTCTTTCCGATTAAAATGTCTTTTAAATTTTTTGCTATAGGAACACAAGTTCTTGTGTTATAACATTTGTGTTACAAATGTTAAAATACTGAAGAGATATTTTTAAACCACTTGCCGCCCATGCCCCTGTCACGTTACCTGGTTTGATGGGTGTGGACTGAGAAGTTGGAATCTGCACTGCAAATCTCTGGCTTGTCACTGATACTGGAGTTGCAACTTTATTTGGGACAGACATTGTTTGTGGGGTTGCTGTAGTTACAATTAACAGACCATGTAATTAGTTAGATGACTTAATATAGGTTTGCACTCTGTATTCCTTAATTTACCAGAAATTAACACAGAAACTAAAAGCTGAGAAGAAAAATCATTAGAAATAAAGAACAAAGTAACTTTAAAGGCTGGAGATATAGCACAGTGAATAAGGCATTTTCCTTACATGAGAATGGGCTGCATTCAATTCCCAGCACCCCTTATGGCCGCTAAGCCCTCTTTGTAGTAATTCCTGAGAGCAGAGCCAGGAACAGGCCCTGAGCATCACCAGGTGTGGCCTTCAAACCATGCCAAAATGAAAGCTCTCAAATATTTAGATCTGAAAACTTAGAATAGCATAGTGGTGAAGAATATAGGTTTTGAGTGGGAAGGGAGATAATACAGTGGAAAAATACTTGCGTTGCACGTGGCTTATTCGATACCTGACAACACATCTCCTGAGCCCTGCTAGAAATGATCACTGAAAGCAGAGCCAAGAGTGTGCCCTCATCAAGCTGAGTGTAGCCCCCACCCACAATATAGGTTCTGGTGCCTATTACTTGAGATTACATTTAAGTTTTCTCACCTACCAGCAAAGTGTCCTTGGGAAAGTTATTTAATCTTTCATGTCTTAGTCTTCTCATCTGTCAAATGGTGATAATTATTTCACAGGAGTCTTGTGAGAATTAAATCATGTAAAGTGCTTCAGCTAATGACTGGCACTGTTTTAGCTATAGGAAGTAGAGTGTTTAAGTAAATTAGCAGAATAAAGATTAATTTTTTGTTAATTTAGGTAAGATTTTGTTACTTGCTGAGAATTAAATATCTGTTATGCCATGAAGCTAAATCAATTTGAACATCACAAGAGCCGATGAAGGGTCCATAAGTGGGCCTGAAAACGACATTTCTTTACTATATTCACACTTCTTAAAGCATAATGGATTTTGAGGTAACCTCGTATGTCTTTAAATTCTACCCATTGTTTCAAGGTACATTCAAATGGTACCCAATATTTTTGTGGTGCCAGAAATCAAATCCTAAATCTCAAATGCAAGGCATGGGTTTTAACACTGAACCCACTCCCTGACAATATCACCCAATTTGTTTTTTGATTTTTGTGCCACACCCTGCAGTACTTGGGGCATACTCTTGGGTTTGTGCTCAGGGATTATTCCTGGCAGTCTTAGGGCATCATATGGGGTACCATAGATCAAATCCAGAGTTTGGCCATGTGCAAGGCAAATGCCCTGCCTGCTGTACTATTACTGTGATCCAATACTACCCAATTTTATAAAATTCTTCTTGATTTCTGAAATTCCCTTTTACATCATACTAGACTTATTTTTTGTAATTATAACTTTGGCTAACATTTTTATCCTTGTTAGCACAGGAATTTTGTGCCTTTACCCTATTTGGGCATTTAAGGAATGTTTGCTTAATGACTGAAAGTTGAAAGACTCAGTCTTAATGTGTATACTGATATAACTTTCTCAAAACAATCATTAATGGAAATGTGCTTTTTCTGGGTTTTTCCTTTGAGGAAGTAGGCTATCCATACTGAAACCAGCAGTCTGTTCAGGGAAGTTTCTAAAAAATACACAACCTCTGTGACTATTGTCTTTAGGGATAAAGTGGAACAAAGTCCAAAGGTATCCAGGCATATGGGTTCCAAAGGTGGGGTCTTACTCTAGCACCTTTAAAAAAAATTGGGGAGGGGGCATACCCAGCCATGTTCAGGGAATCCTGGCTCTGTTTTCAGGGATCATTTCTGGTGGGCTTGGGGGGTCATATGGCATGCTGGGTATCGAGCATCTGTTGGGCACATGCAAGGAAGTGCCCTACTCATTGTTCTACCAATCCAACCTCTAGCGTCTAGCTTTATAAAATGGGCTATGACTCCAAATATAGTAAGGTCACAATGTGGAGATTGAGAAAAACCTGGCTATGGTAAAAGGTTTCTGAACACAGCATCCCGTTAATAGAAAATCAAGTGTTTTTGAGGGTTTTTTTGGGCAGTGCTCACCTGTACTGTCAGTGGAAAAAGTTGGTGAAGCCTTGTTAATAATCCTTAGACAAATTTTCCCATATATTAAAATGACTAATCCAAAAACTTTGGTGGGGCTTAATTAAGTACTTTATTTTCTCAAAAAAATCGCAAGGTAGATATTTTCTTGGTCATTATCAGAAGTAATTATCATCTAAGTAAGAAGTTGGGCTTTACTAGTATCAGCTCAGATACTTTATAAAACTAATTAAATTTTTTTGTTTTGTTTCAGTTTTTGTGCCACACCTGGTGGTGCTCAGGGATTAATTAGTCTTGGCTCTGCCCTCAGGTATGAGTTCTGGTGGTACTAAGGGGATCGAATCCGGGTTGGCTGCATTTAAAGCATGCACCCTGTCTGTTGTATTATTGTTCTGCCCCCATTAATTTTTTAAAAAATTTTAGAACTTGATTCCTAATTGTACTTCTAGCTTTATTTCTAATTCAGTTTTTTTAAAAAATGTATTTTTTTAAAACTGTGGGTACCATGCTGTGCTGAGGATCAAACTTGGGGTCTAAATTCTGGGCCCTGTGTGTCTGTGTGTGTATTTTTTTGAGGTGCTGCTGACTGAACCCTGGTTCTCACACATGCAAAACAAATGTTATACTACTGAGCTACATTGCTGATTCTTTTTATTTTTGTGGTGCTGAGGATTGAAGTCCAAACCTCACACATACCAGATATATATACTGTCTTCAAGTTTTCAGCCCTTTCCTCTCTTAGGATCCAAGAAATCTAAAATATTTATGTTTAGGAAAATGAATTGCAACTTATAATTAAGATTATTTGTCAATTGGTATAACTGATTACCAGAGCCTAGAATTGTTTTTAAATGGCATTCAAGTACTACTTCTACAGATAACTGTCATCATTGGATGTACATGGAGAATATCACGCTGAGTGAAATGAGTCAGGAGAAGGACAGAATGATCGTACTCATTTGTGGAATATACAAAAACATGATAGACACTAATACCCGATGACAGTAGAAACAAGGGCAAGGATTATTCCACAGTTGGAAGCCTGCCTCAAAGGCGGGGGGAGAATGCAATTGGAATAGAGAAAGGACAGTCATCATTTAAAAGTCGCATCAATTATATATATAAAGTCTGTCCCCAAGTGTTGCAGGTAAGTAGAACAATAAAGCAGGTACTGTATTAGGCTGAAATGCTGAAATGAAATTGCATTATAAGGATATGGAAGAGACTGTCTACATACCTTAACCAAATGGTTATATAAGAGGTGTTCTATGTACAAAACTCATAAATAAGAGCCAAGAAAATAACAGTCAAAGGGATTTGGTTTTTGTTTGTTTCCTGAAAACATATTGACCATGAAATGAGTCAAATAGGAAAAAAAAGTTAATCTACTATTGTCCTTAAAATGATGACATTAAACAATTGTTTTTAAATGCCACTCTCCACTAAAATGAACCTGAACTCTGAAGAAATGGCTGTCTGTAGGACTGGGATAGGGAAATATAAGACAGACTCAGAACATCTTATGCCTGAAACCAAGAAATGTTCATATATCTGTGGAGACCTGTCAAATAGGAAACAAGACACCCCCTCTAACCAAAAGGACAAGGGGCTCCTTCTAAACAAAGGACAATCAGCAGTATTTTAAATAACAGAACTGTTTTGACACCCTTGAACTGTGTAGTTTTTTTTTTTTTTTTGGTTTTAGGCCACACACAGTGGTGCTCAGTGATCTCTCCTGGGGGGAATTTAGTGAGGGGCAAATGGGATGCTGGGTATTAAAACCTAGTCTGCTGCATGCAAGGCAAAGTGTCGTATCCACTGTATTAACTCTGGACCAACTGTACATTTTAAACTAATGTTGACTACAGTCTCTCGCAAATTTACTCAGGAGTTTCATTTCATAACGACTTTATTTCTTATGGAAGACAGAAAGAACACAGCATCAGTATCACAAGTTTTGTTGTAGGGGCCACATCCAGTAGTTGATGATTGGCGTTCTGGGGGCCATCTGGTGCCAGGGATCAAATCCAGAGCCTTGTACATGAAAAGGCATGTGCGTGTCTACCTCCTGAATCATATCCACAGTTATGTCACAGTTTATATACTAACAACAATGCTTGACAATGCCCTATTGTGTACTATTTTTTTTTGGTGGTTGGGGGGGGGGGGGTGTGGGAAAATAGCCAGCTGTATTCTGGGCTTACTTATAGCTCTGCCCTCAGTGATTACTCCTGGTGGGCTTGGGGTACCATATGTGGTGCTGGGGATCAAACCAGGGACAGCTGTCTGAAATGCAAGCACCCTGCCCACTTTTGTACTCCACTTGGATATTTTTGTGACCGTTTCATTGTGAAATTTGTAAAAAGTATGTTTATAGCTTTACCAGAGTATGAGTAAATGATATCAGTGGCAACACACAAATGGGGAAATGTTACTAGTGGCAACACACAAACGGGGACTTCTGACTTCTTTTGATTTGGAATGTAGTTCAAAATTAAGTGTGAGATACGTCTTTATTAATCAGAAAAGCCTTTTCTGTTTCTCACTTACCTACAGTAGGAGTGGTAGGCCTGCTACTAGTGCCAACATTTAACCGTGGAACTAGTCTTCCTTGATTAGGCCCCTACAGAATTGAAAAACAGATTAATTTCATTGTTGTTACAATCTGACACCTAATATTAACAGAACAAAACCAAGATAGTTGATGTGAACTACTAGTAATCCATGGCAAGAATATTCTGTTTTTTTTTGTTCCAGCAATGTCTTCTTTATTTGATATATAACTGGCATATAGCTCTGTATAAGTTTAAGAATTAATGTTGACCACATGTGAAGTGACTGATTACCACAAAAAAATATTAAGTTGCGCTAACATCTACTCCTATAGATACAATTCTATCCCAATTCTCAATCTACCATTTAAACCAATGTTTTCACAAACATGTCTGTATCTGTCTAATATGTATCTGTCCAATATGGATACTAATATATGTTTCCTCTCTATAGTATTTAAGTTTAAGGTAGAATCTTATTTGGGGATGACATCTAACTTCCTAATGACTTTGAGTCAACATTTTAACTCAAAAAATCTTAGACAATGAAGACTGACCTATGTGGGGAATATGTTTTCACTGGTGGGAGAGATTTTGGACATTTTCAGAAAGCCAGTCCAATTTTTTTCCTTTTTGGGTCACACTTGGCGATGCACAGTGGTTACCCCTGGCTCTGCACTCAGGAATTACTCTTGGCGGTGCTCAGGGGACCATATGGGATGCTGGGAATCAAACCCAGGTCGGCTGAGTGTAAGGCAAACACCCTACCCACTGTGATATCGCTCCAGCCCCAAGCCAGTCCAATTCTTGATATATAATTATCTTTTTGGGGCTGGAGCGATAGCACAGCGGTAGGGCATTTGCCTTACAAGCGGCCAACATGGCTGACCCGAGTTCGATTCCTCCACCCCTCTTGGAGAGCCCGGCAAGCTACCGAGAGTATCTCGCCCTCACAGCAGAGCCTGGCAAGCTACCCGTGATGTATTCGATATGCCAAACACAGTAACAACAAAGTCTCCAGTGGAGATGTTACTGGGCCCGCTTGAGCAATTATCTTCTTATGGTGGAAAAATTAGGAATTATCAGATTTGAAAATCGATCCTAGCTTTTTTTTTCTTTCCTTTTTTTTTTTTTTTTTTTGCTTTTTTGGGTCACACCCGGCGATGCTCAGGGGTTACTCCTGGCTCTGCACTCAGGAATTACTACTGGCGGTGCTCGGGGGACCATATGGGATGCTGGGAATTGAACCCGGGTCGGCTACATGCAAGGCAAACGCCCTACTCACTGTGCTATCACTCCAGCCCCATCAATCCTAGCTTTGCTACTAACTACATAGATAAGTTTGGGCTCAGTTTTATGATGTGGAATGTAAATGTTGGATTGGATAAACACCAAAGTTTCTTTTGGCCATAAATACCCTATCTTTTATTATTTTTTTAAATTTTTTTTATTTTTGGGTCACACCCGGCGATGCTCAGGGGTTACTCCTGGCCCATGCACTCAGGAATCACTCCTGGCGGTGCTCGGGGGACCATATGGGATGCTGGGAATCGAACCTCTGTTGGCCCTGTTGGCTGCGTGCAAGGCAAAAGCCCTACCCACTGTGCTATCGCTCCAGCCCCATCTTTTATGTTTTAACATAGCAGCTTATTGGAGATAGGGTATTTCCAAGGCAGTAACTTAAAAATTCCTAGTTAACTAGCTTTAGCTTTCATATACTGCATTACCTACAAGAATCTGTTAACACATCTCACCTTTTAAAAAAGTTAAGGTGACTGAAAATGCTTACCTTTTTAATTAAGGATTTCAGCCTATAGTTAGGAGCAGTTAAGCAGTATCTGTCAGGCGGCAGTCTGGGTCCTGCATATGGCTTGATCAGTGGTAAAGGGGTTTGATTCTTCTGCCTTGCAATATCCAATAAAAACTAAAAGCAAAAAATCATTTTTAGAAGTGCAATTGAAAAAAAAGTAAGATAAACTTCAAATAAAAATTTGCTCACATCTCTTGGGGGAGGAGAGGTAAAAGATTGATCTGCACGGCACTGGATTGCCAGTCTCACATCATCTGCATCAACATTGGGTTTCTTAGCATGGCTGGAATACATTTTTGCATCATCCAGAATTGTAGTCACATATCCTTTAAGAGTAAAATATTATTTCCATACAAATATGAAAACAGCTTAATACCTATGAATAATTTTCCTTTTTTGGTTTTTGGGCCATTCCTGGCTGTGCTCAGGGCTTATTCTTGTCGGTGCTAGGGAACAATATGGGATGAAGTGGGTTGAACCTAGGTCAAGTCACTTGCATGCAAGACAAGTATCTTAACCACTGTTCTATCTCTCCGCCCCCACGGACATTTTTCTTAATTAAAAATCTCACTACTTTCTAGGTTTATGAATTTTGGTTCTGATATCTAATCGTAATAATAAATTGTAATATCATCTCTATACAATTAGTTTGAAATATACCACAATAGAACTACTTCTGTTCGCCTTCTTTTTACTGATCTACTCCGAATTCGACTAAATTAACTGTAAATTTGGTTTAAAAATGTTTATACAACAAAACAATCTACGTCTTCCCAAATCAGGCCAATATTTGGCGATTTAACTTACGGAAAGCAAATTCCAACATTTGATTTATAACTCTTGGTTCGTACTCTGTAATTCCCATATCCTTCAAGATCTGTGCCATCACCTACGAATTCAAACAGAAATAACAAGCATAACCCAGGTCTTGGAAAGCAAGACACGGCCGGGATACAGTTATGTAAGGTTCTCTTTCTCTGGGTTCCCAAACTCCTGCTCATTATTTCCCTGCCAAAGCAGTGTGGGATCACAAATCCCGTCGTCGTGCCCGCTTGGCAGAAAACTTGAGTGTTGTGTTTTCTGGGGGGTGGGGATGGGAGTGGGGGGTGCTGGTGTGGAGGCGGGGGCAAAGAGAAGAAAAAGGTCGGGGTTGGCTTTCCCGGCAGCCGTAGGGGTGGCTACAGCAGGCTGTCAATTCTCGGGTGTGCGGATGGGGCAGGCGCGTCTCAGCCGCCGCTGGCGCCGGAGTCGGGGCTCGCAGGCTGGAAAAGACTCCGAGGCCCAGGAGACAAAGCCCGGCGGCCGGCCTGCGCTCCTGAGCCGCCCGTGAGCCCCGCTCCCCAGGGGCTGCCGGGGCTGCCGGAGTGGCTGGAGGGCGGCGGGTGGCCGGGGAGCCCCTGTCCGAGCCCCGCACTCCTTGCGGCCTCCTGGGGGAGCCCCTGCCGCCAGGCAAACCCGCCCGCGGGCGCCTCGCGTGGGCCGGCCTCTGAGGCCGAGCTCCCGGCCCCACCTCCCGTCGCTCACACTTACCAACGCATCTCTCGGAGCGTTCTTGGGAGGCGCCATCTTGCCCGACTCCATGTTCCCCAGCCCGCGTCACCGGGGAGAGGGCAGCTCCCGGCGCCGCGCAGGCTCCGCCCCGACGGGCCGCGCGAGGCGGGGGGAGCGCGGGGCGCCTCAGGCCAGCGCTTCCCGACGGCCGGGTGTGGAAAAGCCCAGAAGCTCGTACTTCCCCTTCTCTCCCTTCTTCAGCGGCTACCACCCCGGCCCCTTACATCTTCCTGGAAAGTCTCCCAAAACCCTTCCTCCACTTGCCTCTGCGTATGCTCCACCAAATAAAGAGTGCCCAGTTGAATTTCAACGCCAGAGACGCAGCAAATATATATATATATATTGCAAATATATTCCAAGCATCACAGTTATATTACAAAACTGTGTTGATCTCACATATTAGGCGGATCCTAATTTTATTTGCCAAATCCAGCAACTCTCTAGTCTGCTCTTTGAACAGTGGACCTTAGCTCAACTTTTTTTTAATTATTTACTTTTTTTATGTAGGAGTACTGCTATTTATTCAGCCACTGATGAGCTGGTTGAATTGAGTATGAACTCCACCTTGGCAGTTTATTTAAGGATTCTATCCTGTAAATATTCTTACCAACAATGTACCAAATCTTTTTCTCCACATTTTCATCAACATTTGTTTTCAGACTGTATGAATGACCATTCTCACTGAACTTAGGAGATAATTTCCTTGTGGGTTTGATTTCTAGTTCCCCAATGAGCACCTATTCTTTTTTTTTCCCTTTATTTTATTTTTTTTTTACAGTTGTAGATTTACAATTTTTTGTGCGTTGGTTTCAATTATACAATGATCAGATACCCATCCCTCCACCAGTGCCCATTTTCCACCACCATGGATAATATCCCTCCCACCCCCATCCCCCATCCCCCCTGTCTCTGTAGCAGGGCAATCCCCTGTGTTCTCTCTCTCCTTTTGGGTGTTGTGGTCTGCAAAGAGCACCTATTCTTTTTCTTTCTCTAAGAATTGTTTTAGTTTGGGGATCTTTCATGATTCTATACAGACTCTAGAGTTACTGTACAGTTTCCCCGAATATCTTTGATATTTTGAAATAGAATCTATTGTTTGCTTTAGGTAAGATAGCCATTTTTTCCCCTTTATTTTATTTTATTTTTTTTAAAGTTGTAGATTTACAATTTTTGTGCTTTGGTTTCAATTATACAATGATCAGATACCCATCCCTCCACCAGTGCCCATTTTCCACCACCATGGATAATATCCCTCCCACCCCCATCCCCCCATCCCCCGTGTCTCTGTGGCAGGGCAATCCCCTGTGTTCTCTCTCTCCTTTTGGGTGTTGTGGTCTGCAAAAGAGGCATTGAGTGGCAAACATGTTCAGTCCATAGTCTACTTTCGACATGCATCTCCCCTCCTGGGAGGATCCTCCAAACATCCTTTATTTGGTGCTCCCTTCTCTATCTGAACAGCCCTTTCCTCTAGGATACCCGGCTGGCCTCTAAGTTATGGAGTAATCCTCCTGGTGCTGATCTCAGCTATTCTTGGGTATTAATCTCATACTTTGTTACTTTATATCCCCCAGATGAATGCAATCTTTCTATGTCTATCCCTCTCTTTCTGACTCATTTCGCTTAGCATGATACTTTCCATATTGTACCACTTGTATGTAAATTTCATGACTTCATCTTTTCTAAGAGCTACATAGTACTCCATTGTGTAGATGTACCAAAGTTTCTTTAACCAGTCATCTGTTCTTGGGCCTTCAGGTTTCTTCCAGTTTCTGGCTATTGTAAAGAGTGCTGCAATGAACAAACAAGTGCAGATGTCACTTCGACTATACATTTTTGCCTCTCTGGGATATATTCCTAGGAGTGGTATTGCTGGGTCAAATGGGAGCTCAATTTCTAATTTTTTGAGAATCGTCCATACTGTTTTCCAGAAGGGCTGAACCAGTGGACATTCCCACCAACAGTGAAGGAGTGTCCCTTTCTCGCCACATCCACGCCAGCATCGGTTGCTTTTGTTCTTTTGAATGTGGGCCAGTCTCTGCGGTGTGAGATGGTATCTCATTGTGGTTTTGATCTGCATCTCCCTGATGATTAATGATGTAGAGCATTTTCTCATGTGCTTTTTTGCCATTCGGATTTCTTCTTTGAGAAAGTTTCTGTTCATTTCATTGCCCCATTTTTGGATGGGGTTGGATGTTTTCTTCTTGTGGAGTTTAACCAGTATTTTGTATATCCTGGATATCAACCCCTTGTCAGATGTGTATTCGGTGAATATCCTTTCCCATTCTGTAGACTGTCTTTGTATTTTGGTCACTGTTTCTTTGGAGGTGCAGAAGCTTCTTAATTTAAGATAGTCCCATTTATCTATCTCTGTTTTCACTTGCTCGGCCAGTGGCGTGGCATCTTTGAAGATACCATTAGCTTCAATGTCATGGAGGGTTTTGCCAACTTTATCTTCAATGTACCTTATGGTTTCTGGTCTGATGTTGAGGTCTTTAATCCATTTTGATCTTACTTTTGTACATGGTGTTAGGCAGAGTTCTGAGCCTATTTTTTTGCATGTAGCCGTCCAGTGATGCCAACACAATTTATTAAAGAGGCTTTCCTTACTCCACTTCACATTACTTGCACCTTTATCAAAGATTAGATGAGCATATGATTGAGGAGAGATGTCAGTGTATTCAACCCTGTTCCATTGGTCTGCAGTTCTGCCTTTGTTCCAGTACCATGCTGTTTTAATTATTACTGCTTTGTAGTACAGTTTGAAGTTCGGGAGGTTGATTCCTCCCATTTTCTTTTTCCCAAGAATTGCTTTAGCTATTCGTGGGGGCTTATTGTTCCATATAAATTTCAAGAGTGTTTGCTCCATTTCTTTGAAGAATGTCATGGGTATCCTTATAGGGATTGCATTGAATTTATACAATGCTTTCGGTAGTATTGCCATTTTGACAATGTTAAGTCTCCCGACCCATGAGCAGGGGATATCTTTCCATTTCCTCATGTCCTCTTTTATTTCCTGAAGTAGCGTTTTGTAGTTTTCTTTGTACAGGTCCTTTACTTCCTTAGTTAAGCTGATTCCTAGGTACTTGATTTTCTGGGGCACAATTGTGAATGGGATTGTTTTTTTCATGTTGCTTTCTTCTCTCTCATTGTTTGCGTATAGGAAAGCCATGGACTTTTGGGTATTGATTTTATAACCTGCAACTTTACTATACGAGTCTATTGTTTCTAGGAGTTTTTTGGTGGAAGTTATTGGGTTCTCTAAGTAGAGTATCATATCATCTGCGAATAGTGAGAGCTTGATTTCTTCCTTTCCTACCTGAATGCCCTTAATATCTTTTTCCTGCCTAATCGCTATTGCAAGTACTTCCAGTACTATATTGAACAGCAGTGGAGAGAGTGGGCATCCCTGTCTCGTCCCTGATCTTAGAGGGAAGGCTCTCAGTTTTTCCCCATTGAGGATGATGCTTGCTGTAGGCTTGTGGTAGATGGCTTTAATTATGTTGAGGAAGGTCCCCTCTATACCCATTTTGGCTAGGGTTTTCATCATAAAGGGGTGCTGGATCTTATCAAATGCTTTCTCTGCAGTAAGATAGCCATTTTAATGTTTATTCTTCCAGTTCATGACATGTCTCTTTTTGTATTGTATTTCATTGTATCTTTTGTTTCCTTGGTATTGTCTTACAGTTTCCAGGGTCTAGATTCTTCACCTCCTTGGTTGATTCCTTTAGAGAATTTTTTGGATGAAATTATAATTGAAGGTGAAGGCCCTCCCGTTGATCGTCGATTTGCTCGAGCGGGCCCAGTAACGTCTCCATTGGAGACTTTGTTGTTACTGTGTTTGGCATATCGAATACTCTCGGTAGCTTGCCGGGCTCTCTGAGAGGGGCGGAGGAATCGAACTCGGGTCGGCCATGTTGGCCGCTTGTAAGGCAAACGCCCTACCACTGTGCTATCGCTCGTTCCATATAGAACTGCATCAGATTTGTGTGTTTGATTTGCTAGCCTTCTACTTTACTGAATTCATTTTTTCCTGGTACCTTTTTTCTCTATATATTTTTATACCCTTTGTGGATAATGGTAGTTTCACTTCTTTTCCAACGTGGATTCCTTTTATGTCTTTTTCTTTTTTTATCATTTTTTATAATTTTATTTATTGAATCACCGTGAGAGCAGTTACAAAGCTTTCGAGTCTAAGTCTCAGTCATACAATGAAACACCCATACCGTCACCAGTGCCCATTCTCCACCACCAAAACCCCCAGTATACCCCCATTGCACACCCTCCCCCTACCTGTGGGGCAGATGATTTCCACATTACTCTCTCTCTATTTTGATCACATTCAATATTTCGACACCAGACCTACCATTATTATTTGAGATTTTACCCCAACACTCAGATCTGCTGAAAAGGCAACAGTAGATAATTTGTGTTCTATTGCTGGTTATGAATAACATATGATGTTGCATGGCTGCAGTAGGGCCATGTGATTTTGAAATTCTGAAATTTTAACACTTAAATCTGGAGGGATTTCTGCCAAAAGCCACTGGGTTTCGAGATTTGCTCCTGAGTCTCTGGGATCATGGCTGTTGAGCAGCTTGATTAGGAGCCAGAGAGGCCGTTCGTGGGCGATAACTTGGGGTCTCGGGGTGGGGAGGACAGGCCCAGCTCCACCCCCATCCCATGAGGCCCAAAATGTCTTGTTGCTGCAGGCCCAGACCTGACTGTCCAATGGCCTCTGGAGGATGATGGCCACCAAGCCGCCAAGGGGGAGCAGGCGGAGGGACAACACCCTTTGCCCCCTGGGGTGGCCCGGCGACAGTAACCTACTGTTGGGTCCGGATGCATTCCTGCCAAAAGCCGCTGGGTTTCGAGATTTGTTTTTGAGTCTCTGGGATCATGGCCGTTGAGCAGCTTGATCAGGAGCCAGAGAGGCCGTTTGTGGGCGATGACTTGGGGTCTCGTTGGGGTGGGGAGGACAGGCCCAGCTCCACCCCCATCCCATGAGGCCCCAAATGTCTCGTCACTAGGGGCCCAAACATGACTGTCCAGTGGCCTCTGGAGGATGGCGGCCACTGGGTCGCCAGGGGGAACAGGCCAAG